GTTATAAATAAACAATAATATATGCTCGACTACACCTACATGGATCATATCTATTACCATACTTTTCTGAACGCACGAATTCCACTGATGGGTCTTGTGAGATAGTGATTGAAAGCCTATAATCAAGCGAAAGGGAATGAAGCCTTAGGGCTGTTTTGAGAGCGACAGTAGCTACATGCTATACATTCCAGCGAGGGCGGACTAACTTTACAAGCAACTCGCTCACTTGTTCCTCAACTGCATCCAAAGCACACCTTGTGGAACTGCAAATTACACTAACTTACGCGGCTCTAGCGAACCTCGGCGGCGAAGAAAATTTCTTGACTCAACTCGTATCGCCGTGTCTTCATCACGTAACAATCAAGCAATCAAGCAATCAAGCAATCAAAGCATCAACATCTATCGCAAATCAAAAGTGAGAGCTCACCGCCGGCTCAAATCGGGCTCATCGTCCGTCAATCTGTTCACTATCACGAAGCTGAAACCACGTCAATGCATCAATCAATGCATTTCTCTTTTCCAATCCACAAGGCCACTCTCAGTATATCCACCACAAAAATGCATGACCAGATGTTCCTGTCGGTCAAGCTTGAATTTGTTTCGTTGGAGCCGTTCAAGTGCCAGTCTCTTGGTCGGTGTCAGTAGACGGTCTGCTCTCTTAGTTGAAACCACAACGCATCAATGCATGTTCTCCATGATTCGGGGTAATACTGACATGACCAGATGTTCCTCTCATGCTAATGAAACTGGCACCTGCATGGGGGATGTCAGTGTCAGATTCAAGGAACAAGCTACTAGTTTGGTGAATGAAAGTGTGTCTTGCGGTGAGAGGTTACCAGTCCAGAGATCAGACTACCAAATGCCCCAGGGCGAAATGACAATTCACGAACTACTGTAGCCCAAGTGTGGCAAGTTGCAGGCCACCTACACTTTCATCCATTCATACATCGGAGAATTGACAAGTCAGTCACTTGAACATTTCAACATACATACATCCTTTGCTATCACATACAGCAAGGTTCTGAACGAGCATATGCAATGCTCGCCAAGGATGGAGTACCTCACCCCCAGCTTTGTCAACTGCACCGAGCACCGAGTACACTGCACTGGCAATCCCCCATTACATTGACAGAGAAACTTCACGCCTTCCCTCCAAGGGGAATTCTCGCAAATCCGGAAATCTTGGAATCCACTTAAAATAACCAAAGGTTTCACGACATCCATCTCCAATCATCACCTCAGAGCTTCAATTTCGACATCCGATCCATTACCGAACGTAACCTTTCCTACAGAAAATCCACTTGGCAAACACCGAGTATAATCACACTCTGCTTACAGTAGCTCCTCTAGGAAGCCATTCATTCGACTATCCATCCTTCCTCACTCACCTGTGCAGCGTCTAATGTGCACTACACATCTACACAACTCACACAAAGTGCTGCAAGCACAAGTCGTCGCTGCAGGCCGTTTCGTTACCTGCAACCCGGTACACTCGTAGACGATTCTCGTTTACTGCAACCCAAACGGTGACACCGAGTACCTAGTGTACATTAGCTTCTCTGCTCAATACTACTCCCTTACTCCCTTTGGCTGTGACCACTGTTCACTCGGATGAAACCCCGGCGCCAATATCGTCGCGTAGAAAACCCACCTTCCACGAGGGAAGACGGACGAGAACAATAGAGTTGAAGATCTTATTCAACGGGCGCGAGTCATTCCCTTGGCACTATTCCCAGTGCAGATGGTGGGATGCAGACGGTGCATCTTAAGGTTAGCGTTAGTGCGTGTATCTTTTTCGCTAAAGCCAGGGTTGCATGTACATACTCCGTAGTTCGTGATTTGGTGTGTGCGTGCTTTGTTTATGGTTGAATTTGAGTTGGAGAAAAATTAAATGAAATGGAGATGAAAGTGGAAATGAATAAATTATTCATGATGTCAATAACTTCTCATGAAAACATCATGTGAGTTTCCACGTTACCGGAAAATTACTCGAAATTTTGATGTATACTTACAGAATTAAGGATCTTTCACATGCCTTAAATTTTTTTTATCGTGTGATTATTCTGAATCTCCTCATACGTTGGATCTAAGCGCTAATGCACATCTATCTGTACCTACCAGTGTAGAAACAGTTATATTCTCTTGGGCTTGCTAATTCTCAACTGCCACTACTCATGCATTGCATTTTGACTGCAAGCCCAGAAGAAAAAATATTAAATATTAAATATCAAATGATAAAAAATGAATAAAAAATAAAAGTAACACTAAAAATAATCTCCTTGAAAAAATAAAATAAAAAAGAACCGCGAAACAAGCGCTCGCTAGCCCTCAAACATGATATCATGCGATCTAGAAATGATGAAAGGCCTAGAAGTTTAAACGAGTTATGAAAAGGCTAGAACGCCTAGAATTTGTCACCGAGTATGAAGTGTCTGTTTTGCTAGCAGAAAATCACTATTGTGCTCAATGACTACTGTAGGTACATTACATTACATTGCATAGCGGGCTACACATCGACACACTGGCAAAGTGACAGTGGATGATAACGTAGGCCAGAAAGCACATTGCCCTTTATCTGAGTGCATCAACCATCTCGGCACCAATAAATTCAGCAGCGAGAGAAAAGGTGGAGCGAGGACGAAATTTCGGCCGCAGGAAAACGTATGTGCGATATACGACGTGCGCCATATTCTGGAGTATGGTATGCTGGCGGAAAACTGGATCTCGAACTCGGAGTCGAAGCTTGCGTGGTGGGGTGTCAGGTCTCGCGGATGTGGGCTAAAAACTTAATTTTGAACTTTAACTCTATGTTCAGAGTCATGGGGAAGTTTGTATTTGCGGATTTTACTGGTCGAGGGGTGGGCTGGTGGATCTTGGAAGATGGAGCGGTGGAGAGAAGATAGATGCAGCGGTGGAGAGATAGATAGATGGAGAGAAGATAGATGGAGGATTGATAAATAGATAAATGAATATTTGAACCGGGATAGATGAATTAGGCAAACCGACTCCATAATTCTACAACAGCAGAATATATAACTTATTAAAATAATATATTGACAAAATGATATAAATGATATGATATGATGCATGCAGATAAGCTCCCCAGAGACCAATTAAGGTTAGCAAACCTTATATCTACGGATGATACATCCGAGTAAATCTAATTTATGAGTCCTACAGTAGTATGCAGTGTTTCAAGGAAACTTTATACTTTATATCGATTATCTTGCATTCCTTTTATGAGGGTATTGATTAGATGGAGTCTAGAATTTGATCAGCAACACGGACGTACGTAGGCACGGGCATACTTTCCTCCGACTCCTCCTACGTAGATAGACGCCTTTCTTCCGAAAACCATATTCATCCCCGCGATGTCCTATGAATTCTTAAATGATTTGTGAAATTCAAAGCCCTTGGTTCGTACAACACTAATTCTCCCTAAATATTCGGCCAAAAACCCTTCCGGCGCTTGATATCATCTCGAATATCAGGTTTTATGACATCTTCCAATTGGAATATAATGCAAATATAATGCATACGTAATCTAATTATGCCCCTCTTCTCCACCATCGATATTCTTCCCCTCTCTACCCCTCTTTCTACCCCTCTTCCACTATCTCTTCTGCCCCTCTTCTCACTCCTCTTCTGCTCCTCTCCTCCTCTTCCCTTAAACCAAACATCAATATATTCCATCAACTCGGAACTCTCCGACGGGGAGTCAAACCCGGTTTCCTGAGCCGCCCCCGCCCTAGGGGTTCCAGAACCACAACTATAATATAAAGTAACACATAGTATAGTATATCCAAAGTAATTAATCTAAAGTTTCTTTTTCAAAAAGGCCCTTTAAAAGAACTGGGATATTTCAGGAAGGAGTTTGCATTCTGGATCGAGGATTAGAAGAGGGGGTTGGAGAAATGATCATAGGGGAGTTATTGAGGAGAGGGGTAGAATTGGTATACGTATGCTAGTTATTATGTATACTAACTAAGACGTTTAGATGTAGATAACGCCGTTGAAAGATATTAACCTTGAGATGTGGAAGCTAAACAATCAGATGACGAAGCTAGAATTAACGGTAATATGGAAATAAACAGTCTAGATTTTTCTCATCAACCAGTTAGATACCATATGTCCTCTTTCTTCTCTTTCTCCCCTCATCTTATCTCATCCTCTCATCCTCGCAGCCAACCAACACCAATTCACCAACAACAGTATAACAGGTTGGTACGTACATAACAACAACAACAGACAACTTTAAATAGCTCGAAACATTAATGACCACATCATTTATCTTCCTTCCTTTTCCTTATCTATCCTTTTCCCCATTTACCCTTCGGCTCTTCAAAAATTCAAATCCACCTTGAAATCCAAAAATAGTAATTAAAGTAATTGACACCAAAAATTTATCTGCTCATCTAGATTCCTAATCATATCATATCATAATCCTACAATCATCCCATCAATCCACCCACTCATCCACCCCACTTTCCCCCCTCTCTCTCTCTCTCTCTCAAAAAGCGAAAAAAAAAAAAAAAAAGAAAGAAAATTAAAAAACCCACAACAGAGCAATTTACCTCTCACTCCATCCACTTTCCGTCCACCCTCATTCCACCAATCCCACGTCATCCTAACCCTCGTTGATTAATATTCCCAAATTTACTCCCCTCCTACAACAAAAAACGGTTATTCACCAACTGCGTTTGTGGTTTAATGGTAAAATCCATCGTTGCCATCAGGGTCTCTTGTTCTCATGTTCAATAGATAATGAATAATGTCGATGGGCTCCGGGTTCGATTCCCGGCGAACGCAACATTCTTTTTGTTTTTGGATGTTGTTTGTCTTTTTTTCTTATCCATGGTTAGGTAGTTAGGTAGGTATTATTTAGAAGAAGGGATAACTATTTTGTGGTTGATTTTCGAAGTTGATGGGGAATGTAGACGAGGTTGATTAACCTCCCTCGCTCACTGGCTGGCTGGCTGGTGCTCTCTTTTCTTATTCTTGATAGACTTTATAATTAATTAGCTTTGTGAGTGTATCTATTTACGTTTTTCGATTACTTACTTATAAAAGAACAAATAAAAATAATAAATAAATAAATATTTATTTTCCTTCTCACTCAC